TCTCCATATGTTGATTATGAAGAAGCTTACTTTGGCCACCCCTTACAGGAGCACGAGGCATCATATGCAAGCTTTTGAGGAAGATGTTGGTTACATTTTCTGTATTGTGGTGATCCATGAAACGTCTCCGCCCTCGCTATTGGAGCATGAGACATTGCATGCAAACTTTCGAGGAAGATGTTGATCCCAATTTTTTACTTTTGTTTCATGGATTTGGTCTTCTTTGTTAAGAGACTGTGACTACACGTAGTGATGATGCTAGAATTTTGTAAATGTTTGGTTTTTAAATTGCCATAGGCATCCAATTTATACTTTTGAAAAAGATATAGGCTACATTTCCATTGTTGAACTGTCTTGATCCTTGCTTTATTGCTATTGATACCAAATTGGAAGAGGTAGTAGCTACTCTTGAAGTAGTTTCTATACCCGAGTTTCCATTGTTATCTATTCCTTTTAATAATGTTGATTGCTTGGATTTAACCCCCTTTTTTTATGGACCAATGTTTTTTTGTTAAGGAGAAAATTGATGGAAACCTATTTGTTGATGATGGGATTTTTTGTTGAAATGATGATGGAATCATCACTATGCCTGCAAAAAATGATGATGTGGTATCTTTATTTTAGTTATGTCAATGACGACGACTCATCTTTGATTGTTGGAGTTAAGGAAGAAGAGGACTTGGTGTTCTCTTTTAGAAATGACATTGTTTTTTCTGAAGAAAATGTATGAGGATTAGTAAAAAATCTCCCACCATGGAAGCGACTCAAGAGGTAATATTTGAAGGAATATTTATTTGACAGTGAAGTTGTCAGGAAGCACAAATGAGGAAGGAGACTCGGACATTGACTTTGTGAGACACCATCATCGTAAGCAGACATGTGCTTTTACTAATATTCTCAAGAAGCATGTTGGGGCTTATGATGTTCTTACAAAAAGCATTACAATGCCTATTAATACCATTGTAGAGCGTGTTAGGATTCCATCCTCACTGTCATTATATTCAACATCGAAGGAGACATGGAGAAAGAGGCCCTAAGAACAACTCATTTGCCCAACCCTAACCAGGCTAGGAAGAGGCCCATGGTCACGAAGAATTATGTCTAGCCATTCATGACTTTTTAGGATAGGTTGAAGGAGATGCAAATTATATAGATGTTATAGAGCCTCTCATATGGATTGAGAGATAGAGATGAAGTTTTAAAGAAGCCTATGGAGTAGATGAAAGAACTCTTTATTAAAGATAAATGAATATGTTAATGAGAAGGAAGAAGTTGTTTCATGGAAGAACATGCATGAATGCGAGAGCGAGGAATGTGAAATTTTTTCATGAATTAGATGAGTAAAAAAGGATTTGATATATGGTGATCATGAAATAGATACATAAAAATAATTTGATATAGACCTAAACATTATATACCCCCTTTTAAAATGTAAATTCACTCCCATGAATTTTAGTGGATGTGTGAAAGTATGGTTGACTTTGTTCCTAACTTTATCACTTGGCATATGATGCACTTGACAACTCGCTTTTTTGCTTTTTTTTTTCTTTTGGTTCCCATGCTTTTTAATTTGCAAAAGATAATTTTTTTTCTTAGGCTTAACTTGGTGACTTGTGGTGTCAGCTTCATTTTTGTTGACTCCAAATTGAGAAGGAATGTTGGTTTTGGTTTAAGATAAGACGGGTGCCTTGTTTATCCCTTTTTTCTTAATTTGGAACACATTCTCATATTTCTTTTCCGAAATTAGTCGAGTATTATGTTCCAACATCATTTGTTGTGAAAGATCCCTCTATTATTGGAAGCGTATTACATATTTTTCCATAATTTGTTGTTGTTTCTTTTCTTACTATGGGAAAGAGCATCATCATCTTGATTTTTTATTAAAATGAAGATAAGATTAAAATTTTAATGACAATTAATTACTTTTATTTTTTTTCATGTTATCTTTGCATGTTTGAGTTGAATATCTCTGTTTATATTCATGGTGTAATTTTGGTCATTCTTTGTGAATTGATATTTTTAAGCATCCTTTAGTAGATTGCATGTCTATCTCAGACATAAGAACTATAAAAAAATGACTGAAGTTCCTCAAGAGTGATCAATTCACACAACACTTCATGTATGTGCCATTGGGTGATGGCAAAATGGAGCCAATTTTTTTTGGTCAATTCCAATCTATATGTCCAAATGGATCGAACCGAGAGAGTCAGATTTGTTGTGAGGTGTTTTCTCTAAATAATGTTATTGAATGAGATTTGAAAATATTAGATTGTTTTGAATTCCCATGTTTTTGATGGCATTTACCACCTTTGGCCTAACTTCTACACGCAAGTTGAAAAGTTCCTCACATATATTGTTGCTTAATGTTGGGCTCTTGTCTATTTTGTTTGCTTTGTCATCAAGGATAAACTTGAGTTTGGATGTTGTTATTGATTCCAATGTTTGCTTTATGTCAAGAGATGTAATCACCTTTCTACTCTTCTAATTTTATTTTCTTAAATTTCTCATAAAAGCATTTTGAATGAAATTTCGAACATTGTTCATCATTGTTGACAATGCAGTAGCTCTAAAAAATTGATCTAGAAGATAAAGATTTATGATTGTCCTTTAAGAATTATTTGCTTTTGTTTTTTTCATTCCAATGAGCTTTGAAGAGCATCATTGTTGTTGGGAGGTTTTTTTACAAGAATATTGTTCTTTCTGTCACTGGCCGAGACAAGGTTACTAACTTGGCTCATGCCCTATATTGAAAAGAGTTCAAAGTTTATTGGAGATTTTGAAATTTAAAACAGAAGTGTACTTTGTTGACATTTCTTTTATTATAATGTCAAAATTGTTAGATTTTTTTCTTAACTCCATAGTATACTCTTGCACATATTTGTCTTCTCTTTGATGTAGTTCGTGTCACTGCTTCCACCCATATTCTTCATACCCTATGAAGTAGAATGCTTGGCAAATAATTCTCTCAAATGTTCCCATGTGATTTTCAGTTTATCAATTAGAAGATGGGCATTTCACCTTGTTGATGCATGGTTGGTGATTTTTCGATGAAAAAAAAAATCCTTTTCTGTTGTGTAATCATAGAGGTTGAATAGGTTTCCAGTGGACGCGTCCATTCATCTAACTTTTTAACATTGATTGAACCATCATAACTGATAAATTGGGGGATTGATTTGCTTCCACATTTGAGTCTTCTTCGTCTATTGATCTCAATAATTTTTTTCTAATCTCTCTCCTTTATTGTAGTGTTACTTTCGTTTGTGATTGATCATCCCTGTTTTTTGATTTATCATTTGTCATAGAGCTTATTGGTTGAACATCTCAATCAACAAGGCCCTTTGGCGTTATTAAAGAGTGACTTGGGCAACCCGGTCACTTAAGGCTTTCTCATAATTTGTTTGACATGGTAATTGCACCCCTTTGTGTAGTGCTTTAGAGCATAGAAAGTGCTTTGATTTGTTTTTAACTGCTCTTATTTAAAACTAAGCACCAAGGATTAAGAAACTTGGCTCTATCTGATACTACCTGATGTTTTTAAATTATGGTCCTTTGACAAAAATGGCAGGCAAATTTTGGGCCTTGGATAAAGGTTCTTTGTGCAAAAGAGGCCTCGAACTTTCCCAGGTCTCTTGGTTATCTCACATTCCATATTGATTGGGTTTCACATAAGTCATAGCAAAACATTTCCCTTATAATCCTTCTTTTGTTTGCTCATTTATCTTGTCCTTTTCTTCTTCTCCGGTAAGGAGGAGAAGCGCAAAAAGAGATCCATATTGAAAGAGAGCAGGCAAAGGAATGAGAATACTCTTTTGATGATGTTTGCATACACCCAGTGAATCTGCTTGATGTTTTTGATTAAGATAGGAACATATGGGGGATTTTGGAAATATTTCGCTGAAGTCACACTTTTTAAAAGAGAGAGAGATTTTTTGTAACTATAAACTTTGCAAGCTTTTCCTCACTATAATAAGTTCTACTAACTCCAGCTATGCATAAGGACTATGGCTAGCCTACTTAACTAAGGCGGTGTTTGATAGCATCATTTTAAGGAGATTTAGCAATGGATTTAGCATAAATTCAGCCAAACATAAAAAAAAAAAATCAAAATTAAATCCAATGCTCCATTAGATAAAAAATTTTCACATTCTGACTTTTCTTCATCACATTCTGACTTTTCTTCCAGCATTCCGTTTGTTTTAGGGCATAAATCTGGATTTAGTCAATCTGAATATTCGACGAATTTAAGAATTTCTTGCTGCCGTCGCTCGAGAGTTCATTCCTGTGAAATTGAAGATTGGATTTACAAGATTTGATAAATACTATTTAATGTAAATTCAGTCTGCAACCAAACATTGCCTAAGAGTTTCGTGTTCGTGCGTGTGTTTGTGTTGGGGATGGAGGTCGACACCGAATCATGTTTTTGTACAACTTAGTCAAGTCCTTTGACCTGGCACATGAGTGATCAAGATGTGCATATGTCTTTATATTATTTTGTTTTGATCCCTATGTTGTACTATTATCTTCTGAGTTTGGTATTTTGCAACTGAAGATGCATTTTTCTCCCTCTTATTCGGTTGATCTGTGTGAGATTTTTCAAAGCATTATGATTCATGGTTAAGCTGTAGATCACAGGTGAATTCCATGGATCTCCATGTTAATTCAGGAATTGATTACTTCAAACAGAAGCTGGGTAAGGTGCCTACAATTTTGTTTTTTCTGCGAAATTTTTTATTCACTCATAAGCATGTTCCATTTTGAGATTTTTGATCATTGATGCTGACTAAAACTTCTCAAATTTGTTGATAGCATAAGTTTTGCTTGCTTTTGCAATCTTTTTATTTGTGATTCACTTTGGTGGTAATTTTCATGACGCCCCACCACCTTCGCATAAGTTTTGCTTGCTTTTGCAATATTTTTATTTGTGATTCACTTTGGTGGTAATTTTAATGACGCCCCACCACCTTAATCATTCTTTGTTCTATTTCTGTTTATTCTGACAGGGTCAGGGTATGAAAGCGAGGACAGTTCAAATAACCAGGGCGATGTTGATACCTCAGGTATTGTTAGGCAAACCTTGTCTTCAATAGCTTGACATTAAAATATATATATTTATGGTTAATTACTTGTCTCATGCTTATTTTTTCTCTTTTAAGTTTGAATTCTTAACAGTTTAACTTGAAAATTATGTGAAAAAATATATAGTCCTGCTATTGAAGGAAATGCAATGTTCTTCCTTTGAGAAGCAATTTGGCAAAGTCAAACAATATTTTATTTAGGGGCACCGCATACCATGTTCAAAACCTAAAAATAAGAAAAGAGCTGTGGGGTCGTATGATGTGATGGGGAGTGTGACAGATGCTTTATTGTGCATGCAGAGTGAGGTGGATGTTAAAGATTTATTATTGAAGGGATATTGGGATAAGATATGTATACTAGGGCTGTCACTTGTGTTCAAACTGAAGGAGGATTGACAAAATATTTTCCTATTTCTGTTGGATTACATCAGGGATCGGCTTTAAGCCCATATCTTTTTGCTTTAGTTATGGATGGTCTTACTGGACATCTACAGGAAGATGTACCTTGGTGTATGCTTTTTGCTGATGACATCCTTCTCGTGGATAAAACGAGAGAGAACGCCCAGGAAAAACTTGAATTATGGAGGTCTACATTGGAGTCTAAAGGCCTTCGTTTAAGTAGAACTAAAACTGAATACATGGAATGTAATTTTAGTAGTAATAACTCTAGTGACAGAAGTGTGACTTTGGGTGATCAAATTATTAAAAGGTGTGAACGATTTAGATATCTTGGGTCCGTTGTCCAAAGCGATGGTGATATAGATGGAGATGTTAATAGTAGAATTCAAGTTGGTTGGTTGAAGTGGAGGAATGCTTAGGGCCTTTTGTGTGATAGAAAAGTACCGCTAAGACTGAAAGGAAAATTTTATAAGACGGTGGTGAGACCTGCAATGCTCTATGGCGCTGAATGTTGGCCTTTAAAAGAGAAGCATAATAATAAGTTAAGTGTTGCCGAGATGAGAATGATTAGGTGGATGAGTGGCTTTACACTTAGAGACAAAATGCGGAATGAATATATTCGTGATAGGGTTGGTGTAGCTCCTGTGACGGACAAAATTAGAGAAAGTTGTCTTAGATGGTTTGGTCACATTAAACGTCGACCATCTAATGATCCGATTAGGAGAGTAGATGTTTTAGATTCGACTTGTGTTAAGAAAGACAGAGATAGACTTAGGAAGACTTGGGCTTATTGTATTAAAAATGATCTTAATTTACTAGAACTAAATTAAAATATGACACTAAATAGGATGCAATGGAGAAAAAGGATTCATGTAGCCGACCCCACGTAGTGGGATTAAGGCTTTGTTGTTGTTGTTGTTGTTGGATATTGGGATAAGATCAATTGCTCTAACGGTAAATTGATTGGTTTTTTTTAGCCGAAAGCTTTTCATATAACTGCCTTCTCCAAATATATGCCAATAATAATTGCATATGATGAAAATAGGCCATCTATATAACTTATTTTTGATTGTCTATTGTAATTTACTTTTTAATTTAAAATAGATCCACATATCGTGTGAAATCTGGGCTAGCTGTTACAAGTATGTTATTTCACTGGCAGGTTAATTCGTTTTGCTTCAGAAATATTTGTGTGTTTTCTATTGAGTTTTACTTTTACCATTAGCATTTTTTATCATTGTGAACTCCTTTTTTTGGTTGCCAGCATTACTATTATCATGATTTGATCCCTCTTCCAGAGTTTTCTTGTGAGTTGAAGGCATACTTTTACTGCTGCATTGTCCAAAAAGTTGTTGGATTTTTTTTTTCTGATATAGTTATGAAAACAATTGTTGGTATAAATCATATTGTTCTTCGCTCAATTTGTTTGTAACTAACCTATTTAAAGTAATCATGTTCTGTTTTGCTACATTCTAGATTGTTTTTTTGGTAAGTTTCAGGGCATTTAATTTTTTAAGTAGTCTACTTTATATGTGTTTGATTCATTATGTAAGTTTCAGGGCATTTAATTTTTGGTTTTAGATATAGTTTTCATTTTAAATGTTAAAATATTGATATTTTTGATGTGATATGAAAAATTTGGGTGACATAAATGTAAAATGTAAAGTTAGATATGTAAATACATAGGAATTTGGTGTTATGTGTGTAAATGCTCCTTTATGTAATCAAGTAATCAGTTATTTGTTTTGCTTGATGTGCATGGAAGCTTTTTTTATGCAACGATTGCTATAGTATCATAAAATGTTATCTTGATCGAGCTAATAGAATGTTGTCATGTTTATATCCATGCTGTGATTAGAGATTCTTATTAATGAGGAAGATATGACTGGTGATAACATGAAAGACAGCAAGACAGTTGACAAGATACCTTATAATGAAGTAGAGATGGCTCATGAAATGACAGGGAGAAAGATACATCCAATTCAGACCAATATTTCCAACTTTATTCTTAAATTTAAGTCAGTTTTCAAGTGTAGACTGTGCCCCAGAATTCTCTGCTTAAATGAAGACGCTGTTAGAGCACACCTCTCTTCCAAAGTAAGCTCGATATTCTGTTTTCGAGAGTTATATATGTTATTGATTCCCAATTCCTTAAACTTTTATCTCTGCTCTTATCTAAAAGTCTTCATTTGGTATGGTTTTTGCTTTTCTATATGCTATCAGAATTTCTTAAAATTTGATTTCCTCTTCCTCAAAAGCTGCTATTTCATTTGCTGTTTTCCTACTAAAAAAGAAGCAGAAAGCAGAAACCAAATGAAGCCTAGTTTAATTTAGGGGCATTTACATGCATAGTACACAATTCTTATGTACCTAAACTTTCATATTACACCCGTAGCACTCCAATTTCTTATATCTCGTAAAAAATAGCACTATTACCACTTTTTAAAAGTCAAAATACACCTTTTCAAGCATAGGTTTAAAGAACCTAAGTGCCATATATGTAAATCTGGAAGTTTAGGGGTGTGATATGTAAATACATAAGAATTATGTGCTTGGTATGCAAATTTCCCTTCAATTTATAGATATATTCTGAAATGTGACATTTATTTCTCCAAAATATCTGTTTGATTTTTTTTTTTAATTGTTGTTAATGCTCTTCAAAGAGGCATGCGCGGTCCAAAAAGCTGCATGACGAGGGTAGGCTGAAATTAATGTTAAACAGTGATGGAGAACTTGAGGAGGAGCAGGAGACACATGCTGAAAGGCATGCTAGAATTTTAGCTCTATCTGAGGTATATAATCTTTTTGCTTATTCTCTATAACTTAATCAAATGTCAGGTCAGTGAAGTTCTTTCAATTTGATAGAAATCTCCTCCAAAAAAGAAGGACAATGGGCGTAAGAGGAAAAATGAACGGAGGAAGAAGGTAAAATTTTATCAACTCTGGGCCATACAGGCAAATTTATTTGTAATTTTTCAATAAAAAATATCTCTCGTTTCATTACCGCAGTAGATCAATGCACACTCGTCTGTCAAATTTTAGTATATTTGATATCTAATTACTTGTCTCTCAAAACTTTTCTGATGGTCGGCCACCTCACTCTTCTTGAGATGCGTTAAGGAAAATGAGACGAAAGAAATCATCTGAATGTGGGAGTCACTCTGGAGGGAAAACTTTGGTACATTAAATTCAATGCCAAAGCTACTTTTGGCCAATCCTCATTGAGGATGCAAATGAGTTTTCCAAAAGCTGCGAGCAATGCCAGAAGTATGCGCCGTTGTAGCATCGCCGTTGTAGCATCAATTGGCTCATAAACTACAGCCAATTGTTAGTTCCTGACCTTTCGCCATCATCGGGCTTGACATCATCGGGCTTTTTCCTCCTTCAAAGGCTAACGTAAATTCCTCGTAGTTGCTGTGGATTATTTTTCAAAATAGGTTGAAGTGAAGGTGCTCTCATGAATTACAACAGAGGTCGTCCGGAACTTCATCTGGACACACATCATCTAAAGTCAAGGGATGGGCTTTAAGTTCACTTCCGTGCATCATCTGTGGACCAATGGACAAATTGAGGCTGCCAAAAGTTCATTCTGAATCTGCTAAGGAAAAAAGTTGAAGGAGAAAAAAAAAATATGGTGGGTTTTGTCGGTCCTTTAGGCAGTTCGAACAACATCATCTACGATGACCGGGCAAACTCATTACATGCTATCCCATGGGACGAAAACAATGCTGCCGGTGGAGTATAACGACCATAGCCAGAGGATCATCACAGCCTCTGCGCTCGACGAAGAGAATCTCACCAACTATTAGGAGGCGAATGATGAAGGAATGATGTGCGCGCTCGACTTACTTCGAGGAAAGTCGAACCAATGCAACGCTTTAGCATGATGAAGTAAAAAGGATGATTGCTCGGTACTACAACAGACACGTCCGAGAGAGAGAGCATTTGTGCTCGACGACATAGTTCTGAAGAAAGCTAACCTAGCAGTCTGAGGCAGACGGTCTGTAAACTCGACCAAACATGTATTGGCCCATTCATTATTGTTGATCAAAGAGTTGCCCGAGGAGCATTTATGCCGAAGACATACACTGGGAAATAAGTCCCCCGTTATGTGAAGCAGGGAGGATCTCAAGAAATTTTTCTCTTAGATCAAATATGTTGTACCAACACTTACAATTCTTTTTTAAAATGGTAATGAAAATAATTGCTAACTATGTGTCCATAACTCCAGGATCAAACGACACTTGGGGAACTCGTGATGATGCTCTTTGGCTTCGAAATGACACTCGGAGAACCGGAGTAGTACCCTAAACGGTGACCGACGACAACTTTAAGACGTCCGATCAACAAAAATTTAATGGTTCATCTTACAAAACTATCGTCTCATAAACTTGTTTCCAAGCTTGGATCATATGAATTTCCAGAGGTGGTTTCTTGCCCAACAGTGACAAGCTTTGATAAGGGTACCAAGAAAATCACATTGGAAAAGAGTTTCGACGACTATGCCCTACGAGGGATAGTGCGACCAAAATGAAACATAGGTCCCTCATACAGTCGAGACTCATATTAAGGTTTGAGCCAAGCAATGTTTTCTAAAATAAACCGACTACAACGCATGCCTTCCGATCGTTTGAGAAAAAAAAATCTAAAATGACCGACAACGCCATGATGTCCGATCAGCGTACACATATTAAAGGCCAATCCTCAACGCTCGAGCAATGGAAACCTATCCCAGAAACTTGAACCGAGCAAAGTGCTTGAGATGGTTCCTTGCCTTGCAGCGACAAGCTCTGTGAAGGGCATTACTCAAATCATCCCAGCTGTTAAGTCTCGATGATCAATATTGTTCGAGGCAATGTCACGACTGAGCAAATGAGACATGCACAACATAAAACTTGAGCCGGGCAAAAATCGTACCAAGATCGACCAAAAAGACAAAGGCGAGTAATGCAACATTCCATAATTGAACGAAGCAGGTAAAGACAATAAAAAAATAATAAAACAGATAAAAGTCGACTGAAGGTCATGTTTCATTCATATAATCATTCAGTTATATATCTATTCTTTCTATACAAAATTTTGTCTGCTATATACAATGTTTCAATTACATTTCAAAAAAAAAAACTTCGGGCTGAGTGTTGGATGATCCTCTGTTCGCCACATTATCGCCCTCAAACTCCTTTCTTCAAGCTGTTGTTGAGGGAGCGGCAAGAAGTTTCTTGAATTCATCTAAATCAGAGTACTTTGGGTCAACAATCCCAACCTTAACAAATTGTCGACCAACATAGTACCTATCTTTAGATGTGAGATTTGAGTGTCAAAAGAAGTCTTATGGTGTCTTCATCCTGACCACCTACTCTGTTAGTTTGATGTTCTCTTCTTGAATAGTAGCTACCCACTCAGACGCAATCTCCAGCTCCATCTTGGCCTCCTCCAGTCGAGCCTCTGTTAAGGTCACCCGATCTTTACTTGCTCTCTTTTGAGCCTTCGCTTCATTTGCCTTTGCCTCTGTCTTCAAAGCTCTCTCTTACTTTAAGGTAGAGGGAGAACAATTGATACATGGCTACGAGTCCCAACAATTAGTACCGATCGATCATATGATAGGGGCCCTTTGGCCGAAGGTTGTTCAATTATTTTTGGAAGCTCTCCGACCAAAGCACATTAGCAATCGTCGAAGCATACTCCGCCGTCCTAGGAGCCTTCAGAAACCAATCCCTCAACACATTTATTAGGGTGAAGTGGGAGTCTGGGCTAAGGAAGACCTTCGACCGCTCCTCCTGCATCAGACTCCAATAAACCTTAGCCTCCTTTTGTTATTATTATTATTATTTTTTGGAGAGGCAATGGAAGGGAGGAATCAAAATCATCAGTTGGAGCCTTGCATTTCCTCTGACGCGCTCCTTTGGAGGTGGCCGACCCATGCTCCAGGATAGACTCTGACCCAACCTCTTCTTCTCCCACCCGGGCTTTCCTCGATGTTGCCCGCTTCCAGCTTTTCGTCTGATTCAGCTGGTGACCATGAAGAACACCGACTGACCTCCCCTCTTTTAAATAGAGGAATAAAGCCCAAGGACGATGGCCAAGGAAGTCCCTATGTCGACGGTCATTCCAACGACTCCCTGATATCTGATCCAAAAACACTGGGAGTTCTCTCTTCCTCTCGACGATGCTTCCTCGAAGGACTGACGTTCATCAAATTGGGTTTTAATTCAATCAAAGATGTATTTGGTTATAATGTTTTGAATAACAACTGTTGTTTCAGAATTATAATGCATGAATTCCTAACTTAGGACATCTCTGACTGTCTGGTCATCCTAGTCTTCTTCTCGTTCTTCTTTCTCTAGTGATCGTGGGAGCAGCAGCCTTTCTTTTCCTAGACTCGTGGGAAAATCAAGAGTTCTTCTCAATCTGTCACCTTTTCTCCTCATCCGATGCGGTCCACGATTCTGGGGCGCCAAATCGAGCGAGATTCAACACTCGGTTCACCATCGTTGGATCTGTGTATTGAATAACCGACAGTTATTTGCCTGCTACGGTCGATGCTAGTCCCAAGATTCATGCCGGGACTCCTTATATGACTCTCCAGTCCAGTCTTGGCAAACCCCACAGAGGAAACAAAGCTTTAAAATTTTTTATTTAATTTTAAAAATTTTCCAATCTTTGATCTTATTCTCAAGATCAACCAAATGGAATGTCCTCGTCGATCCAAAGAGATTGTAACCATCGGGCTTCACATTGAAGGAGAACATATAAGAGTAACTCTCGAGAACCAAGGGATCTTTATCCGCTGACAGTATATCATGAAAGTCATAACAACCGCAATTGAGTTCGACTTTATCTGCGCATGGATTACTCCATAATGGTTCAATATCCACCGAATCTCGGGGCAAAAGGGTGCTGATGTCCCCATAGGAACTATTCTCGATAGAAAATCAGATCATCGCTGGAATTGTCGGTCGCCCGAGCTTCCAGTCCTACAACTTTGAGCATTATGTTTGAATTATACATGCAATTGTCTTCAAGCAATTTGGTGTCGAACGAAGAAAGGCAAAACGTTTGTTGGCACCGGACGAAGAGCTGAGGGGAGCATTTGGAAGCCATGTGAACCAACAAAAACAAATTGACGCAAGGATAAAGATAAAGACTGACTGAAGGGAAGGGAAAAAAGAATTTGTTAAATGCTGAAAATTTTTTACCCTTGACCATTATATATATGGTGCCCAGGGAAGTCGAAAAGTCACAAAGTTGTCTCTCGATATCCGGAAATTCATATAAAATCAACATAATATTTGAGAAAATGAAATGACAGATAAGATTTTAAAAATTTGCAAAATATTTTTTTTATTTATTCAAGATAAAAAATAGTTTACACTTGGTTCTTCGTTCGCCTTAGTTGATACACGATCGGGACTAACTAAATTTGGTATGGGGCTCACCCCCCACACTAAAATCTCTCAATGCTCTCCTCCTTCGCCCGAACCCTAAGAATCGAACAGGTCGCCTGGACTTCCTCCAGTTCCATCCGGAGAGTCGTTATATCCGGCCTTAAGAGCCGCCAACTCTACAGTATGTTCCCTGCGAAAGACCGCTAGTTCTTCCTTCCAGTCATGTATGACCGCCTCCCTCTGCAGGCCAACCTCCCAGGCGAAAGAGCCCACTAGCTTGTCCATGTGTGAGCCAGCGACATCGTGATCCTTACAACTCGTCAGCCTCCCTTTCAATGTCCTCACGAGGGCCAGAAAAACAACCGACTGCACCTCCATTGTGGGTCAGAGCTGATTGTCCCTCAGTCACCTTTGGAACCGAAAAATGGCCGACTCCCATCGTCATTGAGTCGATGATCTGGACGGTCACATATGCAGGAGTAACCAAGTGTCAGATAAAATAATGACGAATCTACTCAATTAAAGAGGCCAAGTTTTCTCCTACCAAGGCTTCGATTCACTTCAGACGACTGGAAAGATGAAATGCTCTCACCAAGAAGCAATCGAACGCCAACCTGGTTGGTTTTGTCGACTGATGGAAATGCAATTATCTCCCACACAGCGGGATCTGTGTCTCAGAGACCACCTGGATAGGTTGTTGAGCCAGTGGGTTCACATATCAGTGTAGGGCAAGGAACGCACCGACAATGCTTATGTCTGCCCTGATGCCTGTCTCTTGGTGGAGCCGAGCTTGAGTCAGACGACTCAGTCTCTTTTTCTAGCTCCTCTACTCCCTGCTTCTTATAAGCCACTTATTTAACCCATTTTTCTACTTTCGGTCAGCTCCCTCCTTTCGGTCTTTTCGTGTCGACCGACCGACAGACTCTCTCTCTTCGATCTCTATTGTTACGGGCTGACTCCCATCTTTCATTTTTTTTGGTCGCGGGTCGGCTACCCTTTAGTTTTCTCTTCTCCCATACATTCTTTGACGGGTGAAGTTTTTCAGTAGAAAGTCCAAAGGCCTTCATCATCACCGCCTCATTAACCACCTATGCAGAAACCTTCTTATCATTCACCATAAAGATATCTTCTGTTGATAACCGACTGAAAGGAAGGAAATTGAGAAAAATGTGATGGAGAAGTGCTAATTCTGCCCCATTTTTAGGGGATGCGGGCACAAAAATTAGGAAGTTTAATTATTGAAAATACTTATTATGCAATAAATGAATCCATTTTTTGTATTTAATTCTCTTATTCTTATCGTAGCTGTAGTTTTCAAGACGTAAGAAATTCAGGGTATCGAATATGTACATAAAAAAATATATTAACATGAATCTCAAGATAGTCCAACGAATCCCACCGACAAATATCAAAAGACACTATATCGGGATAGTCGATATCAAGCATCGATTTCTTCAGTCGGAACTCTGAGCCGACCAAACAGAAGGACAACCGAATGTAGAATTAAAAGGAGTTCAATCCTAGGGATAGTCGTTCACGACCAGTTCTCTTAATCGATTCGAGAACTCCTCACAAAATGGCCAGAGGGCCCACCACGGTACGTATCTCCAACTTTCTGAGAAGGTTCATTGTCCAAGGAAGGCTGTCTGTCGGATTACGACGCTACACCCTCTGCTTGACTGCCCAGTTTATCCTAAAGATAGGAGTGCCTCTTCCCGGAGCTTTCTCTTGAAAGACCAACCGACAACCTTCCAACTGATTAAACATCTTTTGGCCGACTAGTTGGCTTCATTCGACCGTTACGTTTTTGCATTTATACCACACAAGTTTCTCATATCAAATAAAAAATATGAAGGTTAAGTGTTACATATGTAATTTCTTAGGAATCAAGTGGTCTGCATGTAAATCTTCCAAAAAAAATAATAACTATTGGACCGATCTAAAGCTAAAAGTAGTTTAGAAGCTGCTTATAAAATTTTTGACCTTATTTCTTCAATTGTATCATTTTTTAATCATCAATCCCTTTTTGCAGAGGGTGCGCACTACATCGATCAATGGAAAATCAGAACCGTCCATTAAAAATGGCTCCAAGAAGAGGCGAACGGTGGATACCTGAAGAGCCCTTTGAGGCGTTCTCCACCGCTCATCCATTGTGATGGCTGGTTGCTTTCGACAGATGAATTTATTTGTTTTCTTATTTTTCAGCAGAGTAAAATCTAGAAAATTATTTATCCAAAAACAGTATAAAGATTATAATTGAATTATTATTATTTCATTTTATTTTTATTTATTGAGATGAGGCTTAAATGCGTCGGATTGCAATATTGCTTTGTGATTTTAAGAGTTTGATTGTTTGTGTTGTATTAATTTTTAATGCGTTTGGGGTGGGGCAGCTTGTGTCTATCCAGATAAGTAGCTTATTCTGAAATGCGGTCCGCGGGTGGCCCGTAGGGTTAGACCCGCGACTTGTATTTAGTGTAAAAACCCAACCGCATTTTTTTGATAAGCTGCCGAAACATGTTTTTCAAATGGTCAGACGACGTTTTGAAAATGTCGCCCACACCTAAAGAGACCATTTGATGTAAATTCAACTTCTAAAATTTATTTTTGATATGTTCAAAATTTGAGTGCTATGCATCTTAAGCATAAAGGTTTTGTGGTAGATATGTAAAAATATGTGAATTGTATGGTATATATGTAAAAACCTTTTAATTTTTAAATATTCAAATTTGATGAGGCAACAGTCCCATAATTTGACATAGGACTGCCATTCAAGAATTTCTCATAGAAATTTTATCTGAAAAATCTCATTATAAAACAAAAATATAATTATGGCACTTTAATGGTAAATAGAGTAAATAATTAATATGTTGAG